GAGACGGACAGAGGGGAGGAGGCGATACACAGGGGGGGGGGATACACAGAGGGGGGATGGGCAAAGGGGGGGGGTGCACAGAGGGGAGGACCGGCATACGGTTCGGGGGCGACCTGGAATTGGCGAGGCATCGCCGATAGATCGACGATAGGCCTCCAATAATAAATCCGAATCTTCCTGGGCGGGTTGCGGCCATCGGGCCCCATATCGGCAATCAATGGGCGATTGGGGGTCGATGCATCCTTCCCCTATGCCTATCCCCCCTCATCGTTGCCCCTGAAAAGGGTGGTGTCCAAGAGGGGTGTTAGCAAATCATGGCCCGACGCATGTGCGCGGCTCTGGGGGGGGGGCCAGAAGACGTGCTGAACTAAGACGAGGTGCCCATGAAATCGCGGGGAGGAGCATGGCCTAGGCCATGAAATACGCCCGCCCCTAGTCATCACCCCCTCTTGGCCGCCCCCGAGTCGTGACGGCATCCGCTCTGATTCCTGACACCTGCAGCCCAATTTCTGGAGGACGCTTCCGCCTGAGACCGTCAAAAAGCAGACTCAGGACTACAATTCGGCCCCGCGGAAGTTGTCAAAGCCCCAGGGCCGTCGACACGAAAAATTGCAGCGTCTGAGGAGAGGGCTCCACGTGGGCCAGGACCGAAACCAGATCGGACCGGGATGAATCTGGACCCTCTGAGATCAGGCGGTCCTGGAGGATATTTCGGGAGTCGCGGCCGTTCCAGAGTGCTCCAGGACGCTGCTCTGGAGCGATTCATCCCAGTCCTAGCCCCTCCCAGTTCACCCTTGGACTATGCCTATCTCCTGAACAACGTAGTTCGCTCATGATGTCGGCCAATCTGGCCATTGGCGACGTCGAGCCTTGAACGCCCGCGCCCAGGTCGCTGCAGTGTCGACGCGACACGAATCTACCGCAAGGACCCCCCTGGAGATCGTGAAGTATCTAGGAGCGGTCGCGCAGCGCCCAAGCGGACTGATGCATACTCGATGCCAGCGACTGCCGCCAAATGAACACGCTACGCGCCTCGATTTGCGTCAGCGCGCCAAGTGTGCGCTGACGAAGTGCCATGGCATCGACGACGCAGCTCGGCGAATGGCTCCCGTGTGGAGTTTCGGAGCTTCCTTACAAGTTTTCGAGGTTCTTGAAGGCATTGGAGGTTCTTCCCTTTTCCTTTCGCCTCCATCCTCCCTCTCCTTGACGTCGTCGCCGTCCTCGGCGACAGCACCGACGCCGACGCCGACACCGACGACGCACCCGATGCTGACGATGACGCCGACGCAGACTACGACGACAGCGGCATCGACTACAATGACGACGGCGCCGACGACGACGACGACGACGACGACGTCGACGACGACGGCGCCGACGCCGACGACGACGACGAAGACGACGAAGACAGTGACGACGGTGACGACGGTAACACCGACGTCGACGTCGATGCCGCCACCGACACCGATGACGACGAAGACAACGACGGCGGTCTCGACGACACCGCCGACGACGACGGTTGTGGCGGCGACGACAACCTCGGCGACGGCGGCGGCGACGCCGACGCCGACGGCGGCGACGACGACTTTGCCAGCCCCCTGGGACGGCTGTGGCGCCAGGGCGGGCGCCGCGGCCCCCAGCGTCGGCGGCCTCGGGGCGGCCACCCGCGAGGGATGCCGTCGCCGCCGTCGTCGCCCTTGTCGTCGGCGTCGTTGCCAGCGGCGTCTTGGTCGGCGGCGTCTGCGTCGTCTTCTCCGTCGCCGTCGCCATTATCGTCGTCGGCGTTGTCGCCGTCGGAGCCGCCGGCATTGTCGCCGCCGTCGGCGCTGTCGCTGCTGCAACTGCCGGCGTCCTCGGCGTCTTCGTCGTCAGTGCCCTTCCCCTCCCGCTCTTTGTCTCTGCTGTTTCTGCAATTGCTCAATATGAATGCTGCTCTCCCTCTTCCCCTGATGACGGCTTGAAAGTGTTAGTCCCCCCCGCGTACTGCGTTTTACACTCAGGATTCCCCGGAGTCGGGTTTTCGCCTGCATTGTTTCTAAAATTCTGGTCTCGCTGAGGCGCCGGCCTCATTTTCGGGCCCCGCTCGTTCCGAATCGTGTTCCCGCTGCAGCGCTGGCCTCATTTCCACGCTTCCGCTCGTTCCGAATCGTGCTCCCGCTGCAGCGCTGGCCTCATTTCCACGCTTCCGCTCGTTCCGACTCGTGTTCCCGCTGCAGCGCTGGCGTCATTTCCCGTGCCATGCCACAGCATGCAATGCAATGCTAAGTTGATACTACGATTTGCGGTGCTCTTCTACGCCATGCCACGCCGTGCTCTACAATGCATCGCGTACCCTTTCGGGATCATTGCCCTGCTCGACATCCGACTGTGCGAGTAGAGAGGGGATCTACGCCATGGTAAGGGATGGGAGGGAGGGTAGGATGTCAGATATGACGCGAGCGCACCTAGCTTGTCCTCCCCCCCTCTCCTCCTCCCTCCTCCCCTTTCCTCTCTCCTCCCTCCTCCTCTTTCCTCCCTCCTCCTCCACCTCCTCCTCCTCCTCCACCTCCTCCTCCTCCACCTCCTCCTCCTCCTCCCTCCTCCTCCTCCTCCTCCTCCTCCTCCTCCTCCTCCTCCTCCTCCTCCTCCTCCTCCTCCTCCTCCTCCTCCTCCTCCTCCTCCTCCTCCTCCTCCTCCTCCTCCTCCTCCTCCTCCTCCTCCCCTCCTCCTCCTCCTCCCCTCCTCCTCCTCCGCCTCCTCCTCCTCCTCCTCCTCCTCCTCCTCCTCCTCCTCCTCCTCCTCCTCCTCCTCCTCCTCCTCCTCTCCTCCTCCTCCTCCTCCTCCCTCCTCCTCCTCCTCCTCCTCCTCCCTCCTCCTCCTCCTCCTCCTCCTCCTCCTCCTCCTCCTCCTCCTCCTCCTCCTCCTCCCTCCTCCTCCTCCTCCCCTCCTCCTCCTCCTCCTCCTCCTCCTCCTCCTCCTCCTCCTCCTCCTCCTCCTCCCTCCTCCTCCTCCTCCTCCTCCTCCTCCTCCTCCTCCTCCTCGTACCCTCCGCTCCTCATTCTATCATCCCCTCCCATCCTCTTCCTCTCCTCCATCTCCATCGTTTTCCTCTCCTCCCTGTCGTACCACCAAGCGTGTCGGTAGGGCGGGCGGGGTGTTTCGCCGGAGACTTCCTCGCAATGTGTCCCTGATGTTTGGAATTCCCAGCAGCTGCAGCTATGAAGGGCGGTACCTTTTTCCAAATGGGCTCTCGCCTCAGATCCGCCCACATTCGTGCGAAAAGCGTTCGGCCGTCCGAAAAATTGTGAGCGAATCCGTTTCAAATTAGGAGTTCTCCCCTTACTGCCGCGCAAGTTCGTTTCATATCTGGCAACAATTCTGAGGATGGAGGGCGGTATGTTGTCGGAATGGGGCTCTCGCTTGAGATTCCGCCACACTGACTGCCAGAAGCCGCGCTTGAGATCGCTGGACACGTCGTTGAACTGTCTCGCCTGATCATAACTTCTCGCGGTATCTGTGCTCTGCTACGTAAGAGGAGGCAAGGCCATTCCTGCTCTGAACGGGGTTCGCGCCTGCATGGCAGGCCCACACGTGCTCAAGTCTCAACCGCGCGCTGTCTGCAATGAAAAACGGGAGGATGGACAGCGACATCGTTGATGCATCCTGGTGCGACTCTGGACCACCGCCTCCTCATCCTCCTCCTCCCCACCATCATCATCATCATCATCATCATCAGCAGCATCATCATCGTCCTCATCACCCCGCAACCCGAGACGCCAGAGGGCATTCCACGAGACAAGAGCAATGATACACAACACAGCAATCGGCCAGCCCCTGTCGGAAGTGGAAGGGCATACAAATCATGCACGGAAACAACGTGTCAAACATGCGAGGCAAGCGGCCAGAACACCCACACACAAACAAAAATGAAGCAGGACACTGGATTCAAGATAGGTGCGTGCGCGTGTGCTTCAGAGACAGCTGCAGCATGTCAAGCTACGACGCAAGCGGTCAGATCACACACTTACAGAGACAACTACGATTTCAGAACATGGGTTGCGAGAGACGCGCGCGCACAACAGTGACATACTGTTGCTGCTCACACGATGCATCGGCAGGCGGTCCGATTCCACGGATGCCCGGGGTGAGCCGCGCCTGCCGCCGAACGAGGGGACGTCCCGTGGATGATGCCAGAGAGGCCAACCACTGCTCCAATACCTCGAGACGTTCGTTGACGTCGTTCACCTCGTTCCTGCGGTTCACAAGCGGTTGAGCCTCCGCACGGCAGCGCACCCGACCAGGGAAGGCGACGATCTGGCGGTGCATCTCCTCCAGCTCCTGCAAACCCAGCCAATCCACCTCCTCCACGAGCAAGTCCACGTCACTGTCCCGGCCCTTGTCAGCATCCAGGGCCGCGTCGCCAGACTGCTCGGCATCTTCCTGCTCCTCGTGCGCCGTCTCCACGCTAGCCACCACGGCAGGATGAGCACGCCGCCCGTCCGCACCAGCAGCCAAGCCCCCAGCACCAGCGCCCGCCACACGCGGTCGGCCAGCCGCACGGGCAGTCATCCCCCGCAGGGGACCTCTGGCCGAGCCGCTGCTGGAGCGCCCCTCCAGCACAGACAGAGATGCAACGTCGGCGGGGAAATGGAATTCGCCCCCGCCCGACGAGCCCTCAAACCTCCCCTCGGGAACGGCGGTCGGGCCAGGCCGCCTTGTTAACATGAAACACGGGCCAGGCAGCTCGAGTGACGAGAACAGTGGCCCCGCACGTGCACACGATGATAGGTGGGAGCGGCTCCCACCGCCCAGCCCCTGGAACGAAGGAGGTGCATCGGCGCGAAGATCACCAGTTCCGCGACGGCCGCACTCGCCCGTCCCGCTGCCGCCGCCCCGCTGCAGCTTGTTGAGCTCCGTGTTGCTAGCTATGGCGATGACGCCCGCTGGAGAGTCGAACACGTGCTCGGCCGCGTTGCGCCTGGCACTGACTGAACCAAGGATGGGCATGCCCTGCAGCTTCGCAGCCAAGACAGAAATGATGAGCAGAATCCTGCGACCCAGCTCGGACTCGGGCTCCAACGCCTGCTCGAGCTCGCGCACAGTCTCCAAGGCGCTGGCAAGTCGCTCCGTGAGTGCAACCTCCTCGTGCCTCGCCGCTGCGAGGCCCGCGTCCGCTGACTCCAGAGCCCGCCGCCGCGCCGCCGAGCGCTAAGCTCAGCTCCTCCGAAGATCGCCTGCCTGGCAACCCTTCCCGCAGCCATCTCCTCCTGCATGCACCGCCACCGTCCGGAAATGGCCACGGCGGAAAGCGGGAGAAACAGCTTGAGCCAAAATGGCTGCAGGTCCTCCTCCTCCTCCCTCCTCCTCCTCCTCCTCCTCCTCCTCCTCCTCCTCCTCCTCCTCCTCCTCCTCCTCCTCCTCCTCCTCCTCCTCCTCCTCCTCCTCCTCCTCCTCCTCCTCCTCCTCCTCCCCCCCTCCCTCCTCTTCCTCCTCCTCCTCCTCCTCCCCCTCCTCCTCCTCCTCCTCCTCCTCCTCCTCCTCCTCCTTCCTCTCGCCCACCCCCCAACCCCCCCGCATTACCCCACCCTCATTCCCTTCAACCCCCGCACCCCCCCCCATCCACCCCACACCCAACGCCCTCCTCCTTCCGCCTCTATCCTCATCCCCTGCCTATAGTATTCCCCTTTGGTACCCCCCTCTCCTCCTCAAGCGCCTCCTCCCCCTCCGCTCCTTCTTCTTCCTCGCCTCTATTCATCCTCCTTATCCGCCATCGTCTCCTCCGTCGCATCCTCCTCCTCCTTATTCTCCATGCTTGCCATTGTCGATGTGCACTGTAGGAGGCTCAACATGTGGGGCGTATACACAATAATTTGACTGCATCGGCGCTACTGCATCGGCGAGGGGTCACCTCCAATGGCCGTACAGCCATGCCACTCACTCACCCACCCGCTAAGTGTTCGATGAAACCAACTGCACAACGGCATGATGACGACGCTGGTACTCATGGCGGCCATGGAGACGACGTCGGTGAGGACGAGGGTGATGGTGATGAAGCTGGGAATGATGAAAATGATGGGGGCGAGACTGGCGCTGGCGATGATGATAGCGATGGCGATGGTGAGGGTAAGCGCAATTCTACGAGGGCGACGACATCGAAGGTTGCGATTGTGACGGCGGTGGTGCTGATGGCGACGACGGTGCGGTGATGATGACGATGGGGATGGTGATGGTGACGACGGTGATGTGTATAGTGACGATGAAGACGATGAGGGCGTGCGCTTGCGCAGAAGTTCTTTCCAGGCAGCAAACATACAATAGAAAACAATGTGGTGGTGACGTGCACCTGGGGAACCAAGCGTTGAAATGTGTTGAAAACAAATGGCGTTGGACGAATATTACCGTGCGCGCGCGGAGACTGGAGCGTGTGGCCCGCATTGTCCTGATTGGCCAGGTTGGCGGGCGCGTCGTGGCTGTTGGCCTTGTTCGACATGCGGGCGCGTGTGACGCGCACGGAATTTTGTTATGTTTTGATTGAACGGGTGCAAACCTTGTATGATCGTGTGATGTCAGCGGGCAACCGCCCCATGAAGCTGGCAACTGGTTACCGAGAGGCGATGAAAATCATGATTTGGACAGCGGTGCCTTGAAACTGCTGGAAACCAGCGGTGCTGGAATGGTTTAAACATGCGCGCGTGGCGGCGCGCGCATGTGGTTCGCGTGATGTCCGTCGAAAAAGGTGTCACTGGGAGAATCAATTCCCAGATCAACGCATGCGCACCGCATAGCGCTATTCTACAGGGATGGTGGGATGTCAAAGCTGGGGTTGGCGAGCATGCTCCGATCTGGCCGCGGGGCGAGAAGAACTCACATGTTCAATTATCCTGGCGATGGGCCCAAACATATGCAGTTACGAGTACCGCAAAGCAGGTTAAACGAATGAGAGGGAGCTCCCTATGGGGCCACGAAACGTGTGAGGGGTGTGCCGAAATGGGTGCGGTGCCGCCATGCGGACGCAGCCACTGGGGCCCTCGGTGGAGCTCCCTATGGGGCCACGAAACGTGTGAGGGGTGTGCCGAAATGGGTGCGGTGCCGCCATGCGGACGCAGCCACTGGGGCCCTCGGTGGAGCTCCCTATGGGGCCACGAAACGTGTGAGGGGTGTGCCGAAATGGGTGCGGTGCCGCCATGCGGACGCAGCCACTGGGGCCTTCGGTGGAGCTCCCTATGGGGCCACGAAACGTGTGCGGGGTGTGCCGAAATGGTGTGCGGTGCCGCATGCGGACGCAGCCACTGGGGCCTTCGGTGGAGCTCCCTATGGGGCCACGAAACGTGTGAGGGGTGTGCCGAAATGGGTGCGGTGCCGCCATGCGGACGCAGCCACTGGGGCCCTCGGTGGAGCTCCCTGTGGGGCCACGAAACGTGTGAGGGGTGTGCCGAAATGGGTGTGCGGTGCCGCCATGCGGACGCAGCCACTGGGGCCCTCGGTGGAGCTCCCTATGGGGCCACGAAACGTGTGAGGGGTGTGCCGAAATGGGTGCGGTGCCGCCATGCGGTGGACGCCACGAAGTGTGAGGGGTGTGCCGAAATGGGTGCGGTGCCGCCATGCGGTGGAGCTCCCTATGGGGCCACGAAACGTGTGAGGGGTGTGCCGACGGTGCCGCCAACGCACGTGTCGGTGGAGCTCCCTATGGGGCCACGAAACGTGTGAGGGGTGTGCCGAAATGGGTGCGGTGCCGCCATGCGGACGCAGCCATTGCGGCCCTCGGTGGGGCTCCCTATGGGGCCACGAAACGTGTGAGGGGTGTGCCGACATGGGTGTGGCTGACGCGGAGGGGGAGGAGGGAGGAGGCGGAGGAGGAGGAAGGAAGGAAGGAGAGGAGACGCGGGGCACCGTCTCTTCAAAACGAGGACCCAACACCACAGGATGGTTGGGAAAAAACCATGACATGCAGGCACGGGCAGAGTCTGGGAAATGAGGGGTGTATTGAAATTTTGTTCAAGAAAGCGGTGCCCGCCATCGTGGACACCAATCAATGTGTTTCTCGTCACTTATGGAGTGCAACCGATGTGGCGTAATAGCTGCGGTGCTATATATATATATACACACATACATACATACATACGTACATACATACATACATACACACATGCATATGTACATGAGTTGTTCCGTTTCAATCCCTGGAAGCTTCAACACCACTGGAGAGGCGACCCAGTGGTGAGGGTGTATAGAAATACAAATATGTATGTATACATGTGGCGCCACTGGTGTGGAAAAACTTGGACTTGCCAACCCCACTGCTCGCGCAACCATCCCTTCCACCCACCCGCAATGTGATTTGCAAAACCCATGCAGCGGCGATTGCGATGTGTTCGGCGCTGGCTGGCGCATCCCTGCGGCCCGCACTGGCGCGTGCATGCTGGCGCGCACTGTGGCCGGCTGGCTTGGCACAGCCAACGCGGCCGCCGTGGCGCTCACCGATGGGGACTTCCCCACGCGTCTCACAGGCAGCGCTGGCGTGCGGGCACTTCACTGCGAGTCGGTGGCTCGGGCGGGCGCAATAGAATAGCGACGTCAACATCAGCGGAAAAACGATCATGACGGAAGCGAGAATGGTGGCGATGATCGTGACGATGGCGACGTCAAGGGCAATGGCGGCAATGACGGCATCAATGCTGGTCATGCCGATGACGACGATGATGGTGTACACGTGTCGGCGATGAAAGTTGGGGGGGGGTCCAACATGCGCGCGCGGCCGACGCACGCAAGTGGCCCGCATGGTATTACTTGGCAGGGGTCGCGACCCTGACAGCAAGCGCGCAAGGGCGTTCGAGTGATTTCGACATATGCGCGCGTCAAGAAGCCCGCTTGGTCGCATTTCGTGAACATGATTACAAACCTATGGCTCCCCTAAGAATTCGCAACAGCGCGAGCCGTCTGTTTTTTGTTTCGGAACCTATGCTGCAAAACCATATGGTGTTCTGAAATCCGTGCAAAACCTTGGGTCTTGACGGATTTCGGCATGCGCGCGCGACGACCCTTTTGATGTTGATTGATGTGTGTTGGGAAGGTTCCTGAAAATGGGAAAGATGGATAGAACGATTGTGCGCGCATAAGGTTGTTTGACAAGGGTGACGGGGGTGGTCGACAGCGGTCCACCTGGGATGGTATGAACTCAAATGAAAAGTGAGAGATGGGGCAGAGCCATATGACATTTCCGATATTCCAGGGGGGGGCGCCAAGTCCGGCATAGGGCGGGTAGTACATTTTTTATACCTGTGAAATACAAATGTGTATACGTATGTATGTATGTGAATACAGCAGATAAACACACATGCACCAGACATATAAATATGATGTACCATATAGGCTGCGCAACCTACGTTGACGATCGGCTCTGCACCGTCTATATATCTGTAGATACACTTATTGTGCAACCCATGTGTTGCAATGTATGTGGCGCAGCCGGTGTGGTGCAATTGATGTGCCGCAATATATGCTGTGCCATCGATGTGGTGCAATCTACGTGGCGCAATCAGCGACGTGCGATATATGCTGCGCATTCTACGTGGGGTACCTGATGTGGTGATAAAAACTGCGGTGCGATGTATGTCATGCAATACATATACATGGTACAAACTATGTTATGACATCTACGGTGTGTAAGGGTGCAAAGTATGTGGTGGAGCCCACGTGGTGCAACCTATGTGTTGCAATGCTACGTGATGCAATATGTATATATATATATATAGATATACATTTATATCTATAGATATAGATAATGCAATCTACGTGGTGCAATAAATGATGTACAATCTATGTTGTATTCACTTTGACTGTCTTGAAGCTGTCCTCCCCACTGCCCGTGCAAACATCCCACAATCCCACCAGCAACTTGGTCGCATGACCTCTTAAGACCGTGACGGTAGGTCCCAACTGGCACTTGGCAACGACACCGACACCGACGACAACAGCGACAACGACGACGACGACGACGACAACGAATACGACGACACCGACGACGTCTCCAACGACTTCGACGACGACGACAACGACGACGACGTCGTTGACGACGACGACGACGACGACGAAGACGAGTACGACGACGACGACGAAGACCGACGACGACGACGTCGCCAACGAAGACGACGACGACGAGGGAGGACGGAGGACG